CATGCCTGCATGGTGATACACTCGAAACCGAATGACCCCTGCAGGTCAGGTACACAGACCAGAAAGAGAAACACAGATGCTGAAGACCTGTAGCACACCAACAGTGCAAGAGCTTTTTTAGCCAGTGTGACTTCACATAGTTTTTTTAATGACTTTTCCAATCTAGCCTTTCAAAGCAGAGGGACAGTAGAACTCATGCAAGGATCCTAATTTCAACTAGAAAAAAAAACAGCAACACGTATCCGTCCTTAATATTGAAAATGAAGGAGAAGAGCTAAGGTAGCAGCCTGTTCTTCAGCTCTCTACAGGACAACCGATAAATAATAACAAAGCTGCATACAGCAGGTCCATCCCATGTCTACCAGGGGACCTCTGATCAGCTCCTGGCTATTACAGGAACTTTAAGACCCAGCACTGCCCGCAATGGCTCCTTCTCTTTCCCTACACATTCTCCACTTCAGCTTTTAGCCTTCATGTTCTCCCAGAGCACATGCATTAAGCAGCTCGTGGTATGGAGTGAGGGATAGAGAGCAGACATTTATGGTATCTCTGGACTGCATCCGTCAGACAGCTGCCTGCCCTTGCAGAGAACTGGATCTACATGGTGCCTTGTGATCTTACATTTCTTGACTTACCTGTCATGTACCTGAGAAGTCAGTCTTTTTTTTTTTTTATGCCTATCCACAAAATACAATCATTTTTACAGCATGACAAGCTGCCTAAGCATCTGTGAAGTGAATTCCCTCCAGTTGAGAGCAGTTACCATCATTGTACCATACATCTATCCTAGACCATTAGTTTTAGATGGAAGAGAAGGAATTGCAACTTCAAAGGACATAAGTAGGCTGGAAGTAAGAGTCCCAGCCAACCTGCTCCTTTGGAGCACTTTGTTTGGCCCAGCATCATGATTCTATCCAATACAATTCGTATTACTACAAGCATGGGGCTGAGGAATGATTGCTAGAAAAAATACACCTCACAGATCTGATATTCAAATTGTGACAAACACACATATATATTCGCTACAACACTGAATGCTCAGATGAAGTTCCCTCAGATTAGGTTCCATAAAAATCTCACTCTTAAAGAGAAGCAATCACAATGGTGCAAAGCTTATAGTGTGATGAAGTATGCTGTGCTAAAAGGAATTTGGGTCATGAAAGCCTGAGGAGGAAAATTTACTTTCCCAGGGTCTACCCTCTGCTGCTTTTGATTCAAAAGCAGAGAAGTGCTTTTGGCATGCTCCTAAAATGTTCTTTTCAAAACTGATCCTCCCCTTCCCTCCTCTGCTTTTGCAGAGTGCAAAGGTGCTGCCCTCAGGACTTTCCACCGAGCTCCCACACCAAGGCTAGGTCCTACCTCACCAAACACACATACCCTGAACCCCCCCTAGTACAGGCACAGCTTTGACCCATAAAAATCATGGAAGAATCCCCTCTTTTCATGAGTAACTACTACATTTCATAGAATCATAAAGGTTGGGAAGCACCTCCAAGATCATCTGGTCCAACCATTCCCCTACCACCAATATCACCCACTAAACCATGTCCCTAAAACTTATTTTTTTCAGACAGCTCTCACTAACATCAAGTTTTCATGGTTTCACTTCAGCAGGTCTAGATGGTTCAAACACAGACAACTTACAAACATGGACAACTAAGGCAGCCAAAAGAAAGGTTGTGGTCTCCCAGCGTTGGCCACCATCACCATGACACAAAGTCAGAAGAGAAGAGCTCTTAGGTTCACTTAATATCAAATTAAAGCCTGTTTGTGGTGGATCACACTTGCCTGTTCTTAACTCTTGGGACTGCTAGGAAGACTGGGTTGTCATGAGCTCTGAAAGCAGAAAGTGTGATATTATTTGACAAAAACAAAAGGTGTAAATAATATATGCATATCCCTCTACCTCCAGAGAAAAGGTTAGTGTATTATGAACTGTGCCTAAGTAAAGGTGTGAAGCCAAGAGCACCTGAAATATCCAGAGGAATACATCCAAGCTGCAACTTTACAGTGGCCATTTGGGATTTTAGAGACATTTGGAGTTTTCTGTTTTTCTTTTTCCACGTGAGGAATGAGAAGGAATGAGCTCTAAAGAAGAGTGATAGGACATGGAAAAAAACAAGAATTGAAAGATCCATTTGCACTTGGCCTGTTTTATTATTATTTTTAAATCAGAGGGGAAGAAAGACCCAATTACTGGACCGAAATGACAGACTCACTCCAGATATTCATTGACACTTGTCAGACAGCACTTCAGAGCCTTCCTTCATGATCACTTGTACAATAAGCACCCCGTGTTTGACTTTGTGCGAACATTTCAAAACATCGAGTACATGAGAACAGTCTGCACAGCATACCTTGGTGATAGTCCCTAAAAGTCCTCCAATGTTACTCAAAGAATGAGGAAAATATTTGCAACAAGATATGTAAGGAAGTGGAAGGTTTGACGTGATGTTACTCCAGATTAAAATGAAGCAATTTTATTTTGTTTTATATGCTTTCCAATCCCACTAAGTGTAATTACAGACGTCTGTCTACTCACAAATCTCTCTGTACAATGGAAAAAGGAATACAATTTTTAGCTGTCCAAATTACAAGAGACTGTAATACACAAAAGCAATAAATACAGGTTCTGCCAGCAATCAGATAACACTTATCGTAAACAATAGCTTTTGCTATTTATTTGAAGCAGGTTCAGCTGCTACAACTTAAGATTTGGTTATTCTTATTTTTGTGTTGGATTTCCAGCAGGTGGTGAGGACATGATAGAAGTGTTTAACCACAAGAGATTTAGAAAAGGGACCGGTATTTCATTGCATATGAAATTTAACAAAGATTTATTTTGCTAAATCAATTTCCCATCTCCCAGTGGTCTCTAAGTTTGTAGTGGCTGCTTCTACAACTTTCTCTTTCTTAGCTCTCAGCTCTCACAGCTCGATGCCACACAAAGGCTGACCAGCATTCAGAAGTGACTCCGAACCTCAGCAGTTCTGCGTGTAATTTTTTTTTTATTATGCAAGTGGGAAATTGTACAATGCACTGAAGTGTTAATTCCAGATACGCGCCCATAAAAGATGCACCAAATCTGCAGCAGTATTCAGAGTAGTACACTTTGCTGTAGCTCTGGGAAAAAAAGGAAGGGGGCATCAGAAGTCTTAATGTCTTGCTTTGAGCCAATACCACACGATGAATATGCTGTGTGGGTATTACACTGCAGAATAGAGACCCCAGCAATTAATAAGAGGGGAATGCATGGACAGTGAGGTACAATGGATCCACTTTTCCCCATTCACCTGGGCTCTCCTACCCCTTCCTCGCTCCCGGCATTCCCAAAGGCTGAGCTCACCTGTGCAGGACACAGAAAAAGGTTTTACAGACTCTGCAGATGGGTAGCTGTCTTCTGCCTCATTTTCCCAGCCTTGTGGAGACAAGATGCAAAGGCTCCATCGATTGTTTCCACAAAGACAAGGAACGTTTTAACATTAACATCAGTGGTCAAGGATTCGACACTGACAAAGCCACAAAAAAATTGCTGTAATCTAAAGTTATCTCTCTCCCTCCAGGTATACATCACTCTGAGTAGCAAGATACTTAGGGTTTGTACTTTGTTTATTTTCCTAAAGCAGATTAGCAAGAAAATGGAAGGTTAACAGAACATTAAGGCTGAGAATTTAAATGAACTAGCTAGGAAAAACAAGGCTGTAATTCTCATAACTGCTCTATGTCAACCATCCTGCACATATGCAGAATTCAATATTGTTGTAGTGGCTGAGAAAATTATGTTGCAGTATACCTGTAATATGACAGAGTTGCATTTATTGCAGGAACTTTTAATTTCCTCACTTCTATATTAAATTCCCAGTGTAGTTTTGCGCTGTCTTCTGTTGTTGGTGGGATTTTTTTAAACGCTCATTTCCCATGATTTAAAAAAATAAATGAATGAAACTGTGTTTGAATACTGAAATAAATGCAGGTGACTTTTGCCAATTTCTACATATAATTTACAGGCTAAATGTATCAATCCATCTCACACCTATACCTTTAGAATCAATTACTGAAATAACCATATTTAGTGTGCAGAGCCCAACACCACATGTAATTGGAGCCTAGTACATTAAAAGTTTAGAGAAACCTTATGTATGTGTGACTAGAATTTCAATGGCATGAGAATTACTTCAAATAGCTCACTCATAACACAATATAGTTAATGATCAGGGGGAGAGAATGGGACTTGGAAGTCTTAACACCTCCCCATCACGCCCAGTTAAAGAATCTGTTTATGCTAAGTTAGCCTCTGTCTCCACCCTTCCCTCGAAACAGTGACTAATACAACTCCATTTGACAAGTTTTTTTCTGCCACTGAGTTAATAAAAGCCCGTGGGCCAAGAAAACAGCAGCGGCTGTTCCAGCCAAGCCACCTACGCCTGCTGGAGAAGCGACACTTGCAGTGACCATAGCTTGGGCTTGAGATTTTCCCATGCAAGAACAGAGCCTCTTTCTGTATGATGCAGCTGGAGAATTTCTACCCTGATTAAACCTCTAAAACCTTCTGCAAATGGCCGGCAAAATTCAATTTTAAATGCTCATATATATGTGTATATATATATATATATATAAACCATTTCAGTAAGCAGACTTTCTTCAGCAAGACATCAAGTGCATTGCTCTGCATAGACCCTTTTTACCCTGACTTCTGTGAGCAAGGGGAGAGAAAAGCACTGCCTGCTCCTGAATTTGGCAGGCATAGTATGGGGCAGCACAGGCAGCAGTCCTACACATGCATTTCTCACCTTCACAATTGTTTCAGGCAGGCAAAGATGCATTGAAGGAGGGATCCAGGAAGAACATAAGATCTCAGAGTTGACATAACCCGGCAATCATCTTCAAAGCTTTGTCTTTCCAAAACTGGAACTGAGGAACAAACCCCACTTAAAACTATTCTTCTTCCGCCCGTAATTTGCGAGCTAATCCAAACTGCAAGAAAAAGATGACTGCCTCACCTCTCCACTGCGAGAAGGTATTTCAGAAGTGACACAGACATTCTTATTTTTGCAGCCTCGAGACACAGAGCAGATTCCAAATGCCACTGACATTGCCACGTTTGTTCTCAATTCAGCCCATGTTCAGCAGAGGCTGAGCCGCCGCAACGGCTGCTTGCAGCTCATCCCAGCAGACGTATTGCACTTTCCCAGACTAAAGTTTAAAAATCCCGAAATAGCTGTAGCGAATGCGCTTGGTATGGATGCTGAGGGAGGGCAATCTGGGTCGCCTTCTCCTTGCCAAACACCACTGACACCTGGCCAGACTCCAAGAAAATACACATTTCCCTGCAGATAGCTAGATAAACATTTAACCGTAAGAACCATAAAAGAATTCCACTTCTGGTCATGCATTTAAAATTGTTTGTTGGTCTGTTTTTGTTTTTCATGGTGTGGGTGTTGGTTGCGTTTTTTTCCCCCTTTATTTAACCTATTTAAAGGTAATGAGCACATGCTCGGATCTCCCTCTCCAGCATTTATTTAGCTTTAAGTTACCTCAGCCCAAAATTATTTTACCTGTTTAATATATTGCAGTCCGGCACGCTGCAGACAGAATTACTGCAATAGTGCTATGTAAATCAAACTCACATGTTAAATAAAACAGCAATGCAATGTGTGTCTGTCCATAATCATTCAGCTATAGGCATCAATCCCACATTTACCATATGAATAGATGAAGATTCCCTCAAAGCAACAGAATCTTAATTCTACCCCCAAATTCAAACATATGCATTAAAGAAACACTTCAAACATCAATATCTTTTTCTCCTAAGGCACACTTCTTGTCTGTAATTAGTTCCCATTGGTCAAGTGGTTTTGCTTCTATATGCCAGGCTATAGTAATGTTTTAAGTGATGCTCTGATTCATCCCACACTGTCTAATATGATATTTTTTTCCCTTAACCCAGAGTGAGAAGGAATGGAGAGAAAGAGGAAGGCAGGGGAAAAAAATTGCCTGCAATCATATTGTTACACTGTGCACAGTTTATGGCTGGCACACATCCAGTTTGCAGTTGTGATAAGAAATGTGTAATCCTATTATACGGAGAGGAGTCAGAATGTACAAATAGGTCCTGGAAATAGGAACTTCTCCTGTAAGATTATTCTTTTCGCCATAATAGTTCTGCAAGTAGGTCTAGACAGTAGCTTTTCACGATTCTCCCCCACTGGTAATGGAAAAGCAACTGCCAAAACAATTCACCACACGTGAGCTGGGATGTTTGCACAAGACAAAAGAGGCAGCGCTGGACATTTACGTACAGGAGTTACATTAATTGGAACCATGGTTATAAGTCCTTGCGTATGAAGAGTGAGTCTTGTGGTATAAGAAGAGGTATATAATTCTGCAAAGTTGTCAAATCCTGCACACTAAGCAGTTCTTAAGAAACACGAACTGCCATGCTTCTTGTGGCATTTTCTTTACTAAGACAACACAGAAACCACTTCCCAAGCACATGGCCGCTCAGAGCACATTTTTGTGCTGTCGGTGTAAAACCAAACATCACCTTCAATCTATATCAGCATTCTCACAGAGTTAAATTCCTGAATCATTCCAATCTGGCTATCCATTTTTCTCATTTCCTTCACGCAACACCACTGCATTACTGTGGTTACAACTCAAAAAAAGTGGCTATGAATTCCCTGACTTCCCACACATGTGTAAAAGCTTTTGACTTCAGTGAGATAAGTTAAAAATAAAGGACACTGCTCTCTTGAAAGATGTTTTCTGCCAAAGGAGCCCTGCACCAGGACAATGATGAGATCCATGCCAGAAGCATCCATGTCTCCCGAGCAAACAAGGTCACCATTTAACCTTAGCTCTGTCTGACCATATAGCAAATTCCTCAGAGGAAAGGGCTTTTGAAATGCGAAGTGTGAAAAAGAGTTTTTCCTAGCAAAAAGGATAAATAATTAAAAAACACCCACAAGCACGTCATGCAGGAGTAAAGGACATGGTCATGTGGTTGCAATGTATATACGAGCACCATAAATTAGCCTGAGCAGCAGCAGGGTATGCTAGCTTATTACAAACCCCATCAGAGTGTGGCTAGATCATTATTGGCGCTTGAACTAGCTGATTTGGTGTATTTGCATATACCAAGCTAGATTGAGTATATTTGCATGAAACTGCAATTACTTCTGTGACTACAATGTAGACATTCTCAATAAGTACCAACAAACGCATTTAGCATCCTGTCTTTCAACTTGCTGCAACAGCAGTTGAGTTCACAGGTAGGAAATTTAATTCTCTTCAGGGTAGAAAAGGGAATCAGTGATGAAAGGGGGAAAAAAAGAGGCAAAATAAATAGTTCTATTACAATCAAGACACTTTACATTTATAAGAATACAAAGACAGTGACTAAATGGTGGCCTAGGTCAGAGGAATACACACACATTTCCATTAAGCTCAGCAGGAGGACGAGTGTGTACACAACAGAATTTCAACATATTAAATAACTTAGGTGTGTTGTTTTCTTAACCTTCAGCAGTGTGCTCTCCTCATCAAGAATGCTGAATTCTGGATTTTCCTAACTATACAGTCCAAGCATCAGGCAACACGGAGGCCGAGGGCAGCCAGCTCCGAGCAGGGGTCGGTCTGCACGATCTCCAGAGGTGCCTTCCAACCTCAGCGATTCCGTGAGCCTGTGATAATTAAATAATATTTATTTCTCACGAGAAGGTTGAATGTCACAAATTCTAAAGTGTAAAATAACAGTGAGGCAATCAGATTAAAGAGATTCTGTTGAGTTAGAGTGGGCAGTAACACATGTACTGCAATCCAATTAGCAGAGAAGATTTTCCCCGTCGTTAAAGTGCCTTGTGCACTGAGCTACCTTCACCTAACCTGACAAGCAGCGAATTATCTGTTGTAGCTGGACTCTGTTGCAGATTAATTAAAAGAAAACAGCAGAAGAAAGAGATGGAAGGGAACTGCACGAAAATGCATAATTTTCCTATTAACGTGAATGTAGCACCTTGATAGGAACCCGGTAGCTTGCAAAGTCCTCCAACAACAGGAAAAAGAGGAGTAATTTGAAGCAGCAAAAGACGACAACTGATCAGAAATCATGAGACTCACGAAAAAATAATAGATCTGCTATTTCTTTTGTGAGTTTCAGGTGTTTGTTGGTTGCCTTTTCTTTCCTCCAGCTTTTTCTCACTACATTTAGCATCGCCTTTACAGAAAGCAGCTGAAGATAGACGGTTGCATGTGTGCACACACACAAATCCCCAGTGCTTAGTCTGCAAACAAAAGCAACAACAGAGCTGCACTGAGATCAACAGTGGAGACCATTTATTCAAAATAGCCCTAAAAAAATTTTGCAATCCTCTTCAGAGGGTCATTCAAGGTTTTCTCCTACAAACGGGGGACTATTTGTTAATCAAAATGTCGATTTGGAGCTGGTTTTGAAAGACCAAGAGGATGACTGGTGGACCTGGGAATGACCAGGTGCCAGCAACAGTGATGCTGCCCCTCCTGCTAAGCAGCACGGGGTTATGAGGTTGTGAGAATGACCTGAGAAGTTGGCCTAGAAGGAAACTAACAGCACTACAACCTAAAAGTCTTTGCAGCCATACCCAAATGCCAAGTTGCAGACTCAATCTGTCCCCTACCTATTTACGCAACGTGCCACCATCTCCAGGGCACAGCTGTGACGCTGGCATGCAGCTAGCTGGAAACCATGCATTTCTATTTTAGTACTGAGTTGGATCCTCCAGCTCCCTTTTACTTCCTCACTTCCATAAATGAGAAAAGAGGCCACTACATAGCTCCTAGAGACATCACTGTGGTGAAGGGGAAAAAGTTGTAATCTTGGGAAAAAGTTTTTGGATGGATACTGCCCTGCTTTGCTCACGTGTTTTTTAAAACCCTTCTATCCTTGGTTGTGATATAAAAGCGTGATTAAAAGCCATCCCCTGACTTCTTGCTGGTTTCTGTGCTGAAATTACACTGCTGGTTTTTGATATCCAACTGAAGTGCAAGTAACCGATGGCATTACCAACTCATAGCTATGGAGAACAGGGAGTCTTCTCTTTTTTTGCAAACTCCATCTGGGATAAATCATGTGGCCTCTCTGCCCTGTGTTTTACATAAAAATGCATGTGGACAAAAATAAACCAGGAGCTGGGGCTTCAGCATCGTATGCTCATGAGGAAAGATCTTTCCACACCATCTTGATCATCTCCTGACTAGGCCGCTGGCAAATTATTAGAAAATTCTGCCTGCAGTTTTCTTGGCAATTCAGAAGGGACTCTTGGTACCTGCAACACTGCATAAGCTATACAGGAAGAAATATTCCCCTTGTACAACAATGCAAAACGAAGACCTTCACAGATGAATTTGCCAAGCTGCCCCAAGAGGCACTGGGAAAGCTGAGCCCAGCCGTAGTTGCACCCCAGGAACCCCTCCCTTGGTGGTGGGAACATCTTCAAGGGAGGATTTGGGATATTTCACAACCCTTGTGTTCATCATGCATAGAGAAGTACCAGATAATGGGACATTGCTACATGGGGATATTTCAACATCCCTAAAACTACAGCAGCTTTCATACCCTCAACTGTGAAGGCTAATTCCCATCCCTGGTACTGCTTACCTTTTTCCTCATAGCCACCGTGACTGATAACAGCACAATATACCAGTTCCATTTATGTTTTAGACTGATTACTTAAATTTTAGTCCACAGAGAAAGCTAGAAAAAAAAATAATAAAGATGTTTCCATAATCACAGGTGATTCAAAAAGTCATGTTACACCAGGAAGGCCTGAAGAAAAGTAAAAAGGAATTGCAGTCTGACACTACATGCAGCTTCTCTAGTCTGTGATTTGCTCCGTGTCTTATCTCATATTCTGTAAGCATGCATTTTGCTCCGTTTTAACTGTACAGAATGGAAAAGGGAAGGGAAAGAAAAAAAAGCATGAAACAAGTAAAAGGTGCTGTAATAAAAGTGAGGGTAGGTAGGTAGTTACTGGTAGAGAGAATATAAAAAAAATGTACTGATCCATGAAAAGAGAACATATATGACCTAAGGAAAGTTAAAGATTATTAAAAAGTCAGATAACATAAGACTTCCTGCTGACCACTTAGCACCTGAGCAACTGTGGTAATAACCAACTTTATTCACTTTTTATATATGGGGAGAAAAAGAAGATAAAACAAAGGAAGAATACAGGAAAAATCTTCAAATGAAAGCATGTTTTTCAAGTTGTTTCCCCTCAAAAAGAAACAAGAAAATCCCACACATAGCCTATTAAAAAGGCTACTCACACTCAAATTGCCAATTTAAAGGCTTTGGTCAAAAATTAAGCATGAAGAAAGGGTATACCCAAAATAACAAATGAATTGCATTAAAGTCCCAGTGCAGTTCTCATAAGGTTTACTGTCTGAGCTAATTTAATGAAAAGATGGTCTAGATGATTATTATCTTGGCAAAAAGAAACCTATATAGACATCTATTATAGACTGCTATGATCACTGCATTTTATCTCTTAACTGAAGACACGGCTAAAGAAGAGGATAACCAATCCCTCTCTGCTAACCATCCGAAAAGTTGGCATCTTCCAACCATTTCCACAGGCGGGTACCAGACTCTCAAATGTTGCCCTGTCTGCTAACTTCTGGCAATCACTTGGGTACCATGAACATGACCATCATCAGTGGGAGGAGGAAAATTTACCATCGCAGAATGCTACGAGGCCAGCTTAGTCATCCCCTGGCTAACGAAGGTGGTGTTATTTTACAGCCAAACATCAGGCTGGGGTGCAGGCAGTCTGGGCTCTGTTCCCAACACCACCATAAAATTTCTTGGGGAGATGTTGCGCTTGTCGCCATCTGAAAGGACAATATCAAACTAAGTTGGTAAGGATATCCAAGGAAGAGTTTTAAGGAATACACAAACAGCTCAGGGACTGGAGTTCAGCTGTCTACATAGCTCTGCTCTCAAACCAGAAACGGCAAGCCTGCTATGGAAAGCTTTCTGAAAGGCATTTTGGACTAGGAATATTCCTTAAAACTCTGTAGGAACATAAATCAGGGCTGCTGATCTGCACATTCACATGGTATGAAGCCTAGTATTACTAAACTGAATTTCACTGGCTGAGAACAAATATTTCCATGAGCAAACACTTCTGAACTGGGACTTTTTTTTATGACATTTTTGCATGCAATTTTTGATTCCACACAGCCCCAACTGAAGTTTTTTTTTTTTCCCGTTAGTACTGTACAAGAACATAAAAAGAAAAAGAATAAACAAACAAATTCAGTCTCTGCCCAGCTCCCATGTTTTTAATAGAAAAGCAAAAACAGGAAAAAAAGTCAAATGATCTGAGCAAGGTCAAAAAAGCAAGCCTGTGGCAGAGCTACAGCTGAAATCAAGCACAAGATTTTACCTGTGGATTTCAGAGTTGGAGGATAGCAACTTATCTGACAGACCTCCTCTTGTCTCCTGGGTATCTGCATATCTACATACATGCTGCAACCTTACAAATAAGTAAGTCTCCTGGACTGGAATGAAGACACTCAGGTTTAATGTCTGAGAGGAAAGCTGTTCCAGTGATGAGAAAGCCAGCTGCTACAGGTGAGATGAGGCTGAATCCCTTCTCCAAGAGCCTTTGAGACACTACATAGAGCGTGGGAAGACAGATACCAAACTGACTTCAGCAAGGCAGCCTCTGATCAGCCCGTCACTGAAACAGAGATAACAGCCCCCTGCCCGTGGGTTAGGTTTTACAGGAGGTACACAAGCAAGTCTGATTTGATTGTGTTGGAGAACAACTGCTCTAAATGCTAACAGTTTAAAATACGACTGCCCGACTGTGGCCATGTAAGGCAGAAGGAATGCATCTGAAAGCTAAAAACAAATACAGCCCTTGTAGTGTGACGCACTCATCCTCTGCTCATTTCCAGTTTAGAGGAGCACAGAAATGAAGGAGAGGCCATAAAGCAACAGGAGCAGCCATCAGTTGTCTTCACCTCCAGCCATTCCCCCCCATCCACCAATTTCAAGTGCTTGCTGCACTAATGCACACACACACCCCACAGGCAGCTGCTGTGGGTGTTGCACTACTATTAAGTGATGATGGAAGATGGGCAAGGAGCCTCCTGCAGTCATGCTCCTACCCGAGCCCACCCTTCATGCTGCAGAAGTTTCCGAGTTTCCAAGCCCAAACAACTTTTAGACATGTTGTAATAAAACCCATCCGCACAGCCAAGGATCTGCCTTGAGCCAGCAGTAATTAAAATTAATCATTCACAATTATTTTCATGGGCATGTTCAAAAAAAGAGACACTGGTAGCTCGCCGAATCCTCAAAGTTGACAGACCTTGAAATAGGATGTGGTCAGGTACAGTGCGTTCCTGGATTTCAAGCAGTTAAAAGCATGCTTTGCATATCTATTCGCTGTCCTGCTCGCCGGATTCGCGGCGCTGCCATTCATTGCTACCTCGTTCCTGCAGTCTAAATTTTGAGCTGACATCAACAGATCACTTGTGGGACTGATAAGGAAATAAATTTTTAAGTTAAAAATTACCGTGTCTATAATGGCAGAAAATTATGGCTGCCCAGCTGGGATTCAGGACCACATCAGCATTAATATTTCTTATTCTTGAATCTTAGTGTCTTCTGAACCTGAGATTCTTCCTGTGTTCCACACATTCATATTCAGTTTTTAATCACTATTTTCTTCCATTTCAGCTTCGCTGGTCACTGCTATTTTGAGGGAGGTGAACAAATTTCTGGAGTACGGAGTAGCCTGAAGGATACCACTTTCCAAAGCTTCAAAACTATTGAAGAAATTACATTTACAGAGGTAGAAGAATGAATAAAATTTGATGTCAGGGATTAGGACTGTCACCTTCTGGAAAACTATTTATACAAGCAATTTTTAGGGACTGAGCATCTCCTATTCATGATACCATCCTTGATCATTTCTGTCCCTTTTAAACTTATCATAAAAATGTAAGAGCATATGTCTTACATATATAAAACCAACATTTGTAGGCAGTATATAAGACCAAGATTGTAACCATTGCGGAGAGAAAGCAATCTCACACCTAACAGATTGCAGATCCCTAGGTATCAACCTGCACACCGCTCCTTCCTCCCCATCAGCAGGAATATTGATTTTTACAATTCATACCAGGGAAAAAAAAAGTTTTCAGCAGCTCTACTGAAGGAGAGGAAGGCGGTAATGGGATCGTCAGCCACCCACCACGCATGTTCTGTAGCTGGAGTTCAAAACTGGAACGAAAAGGAAGAGATAGAGGATTCAACTTTCTACGTTAATCAACTCTCAGCATGGTTTTCAGTTATAAGACTTCAAAGGAACACATATTCCCTCTTTGCTGAAGTAGAGAAATGCCTGATAAATATGTTTTGCTTTTTATCTTTATAATCTAGAGTGATTTTCTATACTGCATGTAGGTACGATGCTGTGCGGGAAAACAGCTTTGCAGAGCGCTGACTGGAGAGGGAACAGTTACAAAGCACTTCAGAGGTTTCAGGCAGGGTTGGGGAAATATTTCTCTTTAGGAAATTCAGCCAGAGAGGAGGTAAACAGTATAAAACAACTGCAACACTCAAGTTCAGAAGTCTCCGCGGCAGTCAGCAGCACTGCAGCCAGTTTGAAGGAGCCACCCCAGATTGTTTTTATTGTTTTATCCAGGGTGTTGGCATTTCTCAGCTCTGTGTTTGCCTGTCCCCCATGCTTCTCTTCTGCTGGTCACCCTAATGGTCAGTCATAGCCCTCTCCTAATTCACATTATATCCCCACTAAGCCACTTTACCACTGAAAACGGCAACAGAGGCATTAAGGTGCTAAAATTTAGGGCTCCCCCTTCTCTAACCTCTCCTTTCTCTGCATCACGAGCCCTGCAGGTGCAGCAAGGCTTCCCAAGGTGTAGCTTTAAACCAGGGATGCACATTTCCAGTTCTATTCTCACCAGCTCTCACTTCATCCCCTCCTTCCACATCCACAAGCATTTGCAGCTCAGAAGAGCAGGTGCCAAGGAGATCCCAGCCAGCACACCAGCTTACCTCCAGAGGCATCTCACTACAAAGGCCTAATTCTGACCTGCATAGTTTCCATGATTTTTACACCACCCACAAAGTTTTATAGTTAGAGGAAAGACCTCAAAGGCATGCAGCAGAGAAAAAGCATGGCAGCCCCACCTCAATAACATATAATGGCCCCTTCTTCCTTTGGAAAACCATCTCTGAATTATCACAGCTTATGCTTGCTAAAATGTTGTAGAAGCTTGTACAAACCCATCTTGGACCAACTCTAACAAATAGGAAAAAAAGAAAGAAAAAAAAAAAAAAGATGTTAGAGCAGAGGGAAAAGACTTCTTCTGTTTGAAGAGGCACAATGAGCCCTGAAAGCACATCAGGAAACCAGGAACAGCTGATGGAGGCAGGGTGGGGTGTGCATGCACGTGTGTGGGGAAGGACACGGTTCCCCAAAATGCCATGATTGCTCAAAAACAAAAACTGAAGACAGCCATAGGTCCAACCACCAGGCATGTACGTATTCCCTCCTGAGCAGAGGTGCAAAGCAGCTCTGCCAGAGAAGGGACAAAAGCCCAGCTTCCTCTTCCAACCACCAGACAATCTTGCTAGTAAGGGATTAAAGAGGTTTAAGTAACTATACGTTTAATAATGTCAGGAGGGCAAGGACAGTTACATTTTGACTGCTTTGAACTACTGATAGCCTTGCAATTTTGTTCCTGTTTTAAATACAAAATCAGTATTTTTGCCAGAGCGGACATCATCTTAGGATATGAGCAAGGCAAGGAGCACAGGAAGAAGTACTCTTTTACTAGCCAATTAATGGAAAAAAACAGATGAGCTTTCAGACACAAGTCTATAGATATGAAATTTTCGCGAAGTGAAGACCATTGGTCCTTAAATACATACATACACATATACAAGCATATATACGCACACACACATACACATAAAAACTTCCTACCTTGCTTTAAAATCTGAAAGACTTTCTCGAGCTTGCACTGCCAGTAAAAATTACAGCTTCTTTGGTAGGGGAAAGAAAAGCACAGCTGAGAAAAAAATAGGCTGTGGAAAGACATCAGCAGCAGAAGACAAAGTTTGCTATTACCTACTGTAATTATGGAGAAGCATTATTTTTTATTCTGTGCTCAACTCCTCTTTTCCATTCTTTTCATCAGCCTTAAAAATGATTTTAGGATTTCAGCAAAATAGGGTCATGTGGAGGACTGTATGCTTCTGGCCAAAGCCTTCCCTGCTCCTCCCTTGGGGGAAAAAAAATAAACAGAAATGAAGCAGCAACGACAAAGGAGAAATAGAGTTTGCAGTTCTTCAGTTCTCCCTTTCCCTCTTCCCTAATGCAAATTCAGAGCAGATCCTGTAGAGACTGTAAACACCCACGCAACTTTCCAGGTGGGAAAAAAAACACACACCAGTAAATATATTAACAGCAATTTCTTTACCCTTTCTTCGCTAAGTGACTGGATATAAAATCTGTTGCTGCCTCATGGACGAACACACAGAACCTTTGGCAGAACTGAAGGATGTTTTGGGGCACCGCAAAGGATTTGGTGGCTGTCTTATCTTTCCCTGTACGCTAACCAGTCTGCATAACCTAATAGCATTAGCTTACTAACAGATATATTAATAGGCGTGGGGGGAGGGAGAGGGGGAAAAAAGCCACTAAAACATATTCCACCTACACATCTTGCTACTAATCACAAACTCAGGTAGAAAGGATTTTTTTTTTTCTCCTGGTCAGGCAAGAAATACAGGAGAGAAAAAGACACAGTGGGGGAAAGCGCCTATTTTAATATTTTTCTAGAAATCATCATATAAAAAAAAATCTAACCTTAGACTGATCGTTGCATTTATCAATCCATGACAAGGAAAAAGAAAGTGGGAAAAAAAACTCAGGAACTGCCACAACATCTTACAGTTGGTAGTTTCAGAGTGATAAATATAACACTGGTCTCAGACTGCTAGAAGGATTAGATTTAGCTGTAAAACAAGAAGTGCAGTTAACAGTTGGTGTTGGGTCTGGTGTTAGGATTAAAAAGCTCTGCTAATCACAAGAAATGCAAAAAGATTAAGTGGTGATGGCTGCCAGTGAGGTTTTTAAGAGCATATACGTGTTGGAATTCGTCGTGAGATTAAAATTCCTCAAGTTGAAAAAATTAAATTTAAAGAAAAAAAAGGACAAGGATAGATCATAAAGGCAGCAGCCAGTTTCACTTGCGCTGTCCAGAACCCATTCCTAAGGATTAGAGATTTACAAGTGGAAACGCAAAATGTATGCCATGGCTTACAGTGAAGGATCCTAGGAGGGTTTTAGTAAGGACAGGCAAGCATTTGTATTCTGGTACCTAGGAATTAACTGCACTACTAAAACCTATTAAAACAGTGGGCTTGGGGAAAGATTTTGCTTACCAAAAACCTGCCTGAACACAGTGGAGTCACAGCTTCAGAAAGGGTCTGTGACACGAGTCATGATGGCATCCGGTATCTGCGTTCTTTCAGTAGGAAGAATAAAGTGACACCTTAATTTCCTGGTTCCCAGCTGCTTTAGATTTACCAACACGATCTATTTATATTGCTACTTATCAAGGACAAGTCAAACTCCCCATATAAAATATTCAAATTGCAGTAAGAGAACCCCCCCCAGCTCCCAGAAGGGCAAAGTAATAATAAAATGAGCTTTCTTAAACCTTGAAATAAACATCTATTAAAACCCAAATTTGAATTTTGGCTGGGAAATTTTCCTAACAAGGCATTTTAGCCAGAGCAGGCCACAGCATCACAAAGCAAGATTCCCTTGTTTGCTTACGACACAGAGCTCTCTCCATCAGCAGTGAGTGCACAGTTCATCGCTGTCACCCTGGGCCACCACCACCCCAAACCCAACAGCGTGCTGTGTCACATCTCAAGGAGAAGGAAGACCCTTCCATGGCACATCAGTTCCACCACTAGTCAGATGGAGTCATTGCTTAGCAGTGAGGCCACCCCAAACTTGCCTCTCCCCCACGCTGTTCCAAATTTATCCAAAGATTCAGAGTAAAATGAAAGTGCTGCCATATGACTTCACGCAAATTTGCCCTGCTCAGCTACA